GGGGATGGAAATATTAACTACCACAATTTGATCATTATACTCCCCCCTCCATATATGATTACACAGTACCCATAAGTTTTTATATTTAAAATAATTTTTTAAATAATTCCCTTGCTCAAACCAGGCATGGTAGTACATGCCTGTAATCCCAGTACTCAAGAGCCTGAGGCAGGTGGATCACCATGAGTTCAAGACCAGCCTGAGCTACATAGGGAGACCCTGTCTCAAAAACAAAACAAAAAATTCCCTTGCTTGCCACGTAAGCCTCCAGGAATGTCTGTCGCCACATGGGATGGTGGTGTTGGAGGAAAATGCAGTGTGATAAATTAAAATAAAAATATCAAGGCAAATCTCCAAGTATAAAAGTTTTACTTGGGAAATTATAGAAAAATGAGGATTGCAGTCTAGGACACATGCAGAGGAATGTCTAATGAACACGAGATCAGGGTTTTACTGGGGAAAGGGGGAGTTATGCAAGTTGTTTTGGGAGTAAGTTCATTGGCAGTTGCCAGATACTGTATAACTTGTTTGAAAGCCTGTTCAGGCTGGGCATGGTGGCACACGCCTGTAATCCCAGCACTGGGGAGGCTGAGGCAGGAGGATTGCTGTGAGTTCAAGACCAACTTGGGCTATATAGTGCGTTCTAGTTTAGTCTTAACTACATAGTGAGACCCTGTCTCAAAAAACCCAAAAATCAAAACAAACTAAAACAAAACAAAACAAAAACAAAAACCCAAAGCCTGTTCAGTGGCGGGTTTGAGCTTGTGAGCAGGTCTAGGGAAATGCCAGAGGTGGGGAAGGTGTCTAGCTTGGTGACAGCCCCTCCTGGCCCCCAAGGTGCTCAGGTCCAGAGTGAAAGGAAGCGAATCTCTAAAATAAAGATTGACTATGGCCTCTCACGTCATTTCCTATTCGTTACGAGGTCCCTGACTTTCGAGGGTGTGAACTGCAATTTTTTGACTTCACAATGGTGTGAAAGCAATGCGCTGAAAAGAAGCTGTACTTGGAACTTTGAATCTTGCTCTTGTCCTGGACAGGACACGGTACGGACCTCTCTCATGCCGCTAGATGAGGCTGTATGGTGGCCAGGTGTATTTCCTGTCTTCAAGCTCAGATATTTCCCATCTGCACATTTCCCCAATGTAAGTCCGGAGGCCCCTGTACAAACGGATCCTGGCTGCAGGCGGAGCCAGTCACCGTCAGAGGAGAAAGGGCCAGGCTCATCATGTCATTGTTGGAGCGTCAGACTCCCAAAGGCAGCACTGGTGTTACTGCTCGCCTCACCACCTGGGCACACAGCTGATGATCTTCCTGTGTTGTGGTTATTTAAACTAAAATCTGTGAGTGGCTGCGGGAAGAATGGAATGCTCCTGGGATTTATAATCAGACCCCAAAACATCTGTCCCTCAGGATGTCTGATATAAGCAGTAACGGCATGAGTAATGGCAGTTTCAAATCACCTGGCTTTAGGACCACTGATTGCAGCAGTGGCGTGTGCAGTGTCTGGGTATGCGCGTGCCCTTTCTTAGAGTTGTCTTGCTGTCCCCCCAAGGCCTCAAGCACTCATAGGTGGGAGGATGGGGCTCATCTGTGCGGACCTCTCCCCTGTAGCCCAGAAGCCAGGCCCCTCGGGGGAAGCAGGGCGGCTGGACCTCGTCCATCTGCAGAAGGGGTGCGGAAGGGCTGAAGTGGCCCCTGAGGTTCAGTTAGGCCGGGTGACAGGAGGAGGCTGCAGAGTGACCTGAGGCCCAGAACGATGACGGAGACCCACAGGAGGCCTGTGGGGACCGAGCGGCCGGGCTCAGACACTGCCTGTCAGAGGGACAGCTTTCAGGCAGGGCTGGGCTGAGGTCCCCACACTCCAGTTGAGATTGGGTTGGGGAAGAGCCCTGAGAAAACACCAGGCACCTCAGCACGCTCCTGAAAGTAAAGCGGCTAAGAGATTCCTGTAAGGGGCTAGAAATCCCCTGGATTAAGAGCTCTGCATCTGAAAATCACAATGAGCTACTAAAAGAAATATGGCTTTGGGGGTACATTTTTGGTACAGCAGTGCGATGTGCATCTGTTATACTGTAACTAAAATGTATCCTATAAAATAGCTTTTGAATTTAAAAAGAATTCAACTGTATAAAATTCCAAACATCCATTAAAGTTGGGAATAAACAACATGAATTCCAGCTTCAGTTGGGGTCTCAGGAAAAAAGCCCAAGAAAACAAAACAAAACCCCAGATGTCCTCAAATTAGATCCATTTCATGAAAGTTTAAAATTATAGTGAGGGCGAGGGGAACCCAAGAGAAGTACAGCAGTGCCAGGGGACAGCAGCAAGGATCTGGTCCACTCCCTGAGACGAGAGAGGGAGAGGCTACTGAGACCCAGGCAGTGTGGGCAGAGAGCAACACCCCAGGAGGGTTTGTGACCACTGGTCAACGGCAGGACGGGGGACACACCCAGCCCACCTCCTCTCCCTGCACGGCGTGTTAGGAAGCCAGGGAGTATGGAGGCAACAGATGTTGTCCACATGGATGGCCTCTCCGGGCCTGGCCAGGGTGGAAAAGGCCAGTGGACAGACACATTCATCAGCCATAATCCCATTTGGGCTTATCCCACCCGGCTGCAAAGAGCACGCCAGTTCCCCACGGTTGTGTAACAGAGCGCTTACAGACTGATCAGCTTAAAACAACAACCACTTACTATGTCACATTTCCCGAGGTCAGAAACTCTGCCTGGTGTGGCTCTGTGGTCCCCCAGTTAGTCTCACAGGGCTGTGGCTCTTGCTGCAGACTCTGGGAGGAATCTGCTTACAAGTCCCTTCAGCTTGGGATAGAACCCGGTTTCTGGCAGTTGTCGGACCCAGGGCTGTCAGCCGGGAGTTGTTCTCAGCATGCAGAAGTCACTTTACTCCCTGGCTCGTGACTCCCCATCCTCATCCGCAAGGCCACCCTCATCCCACCTGCTCTCTGTGTTTGCCTCACCTCTGACTCTCCCCCCACTCATCTGCTCCAAAGGGCACACCTGGGTAAGAGGCTAACGTCTTTACTTCAAGGTCAGCTCATTAGTGATCTTAACTCCATCTGCAAATTCCTTTCATAGAAGAATCTACATTAGACTCTTGAGATCTTCAGAATTCACCCATTTACAAGGATAAACATTTTGCTAATCTCAGGTAACTAGTTTTTATTTTGTGATGAATAATTAAAAAAAAAAACCCAACCAACTTTGACATACAATTCACACGCCACCCAGTCCACCCAGTTAATGCACACACAGTGGATTTTGGTGTATTTTTTTTTTAAATGGTAGCCTATAACATGGACTTTGTCCTTTTAGACATTTTTAAGTGTTCAGCTCATTGGCACTGATTGATGTTGGCAAGTGTTATGCAACCATGATCATTATTTATTTTCAAAATCTTTTCATGGCTCCCCCAAACCAAAACTGTAACTTAAACAATATCTCTTCACTTCTCCCTCCCTTCAACCCTGGTAACCTCTAATCTACTTTTAGGGCTTGTGAAGTTGCCACAGTCAATACTTGTTCCTTTGCGTCTGGCTCTCTTCACCCAACACACCACCTTCAAGGTTCGTTCATGTTGCAGCGTGCGTCAGAACTTCTTTCCTCTTCATGGCCAGACCTGATGTGTACCCACATTTTGTTTCTCCAGTCATCCATTGACGGACACAGGTTATTTCCGCCTTTTGACTGTGGTGAACTATGCTGCCAGGAATCCTGGGTTACAAGTGCCGGCTGAGTCCAGCTCCTCCTTCCATCTCCTCAAGAGCTGAGTCCCCCAGCTTTCCAGTCTGTGCCATTTTACATTCCCAGCAGCAATCCACAGTTCTAACTCTTTCACTGCCTCAACGTGTCTTTTGTAATAGCATTCCTACTAGGTATGAAGTAGTATCAAATTTGGTTTTGATTTGCATTCCTTAATAACTAATGATATGAAACTGTTTCCTGGTGTTGGGGGTCGAACCCAGAGCTTCACATATGCTACACAGGAGCTACAGCCCAACCTTGGAGAATCTTTTCATGTTTACTGCCAATTCTGTATGTTCTTTGGAGAAAGATTCAAATCCATTATTCACTTTGGATTGTTTTTCACACTGAATTGCAGTTCTTTATACTTCAGATTAATGACTTGCAAATATCTTCTCCCTTTCCAATGATTCTTTGCATTCTTAGTAGTATCTTTTGATGCACAAACATTTTAAACCATGAACCACACTGTGTCTCCTCCACGCTGTGTCCTGGGCACTACGAGCATTCTGCTACACCCAGATTCCCTGAATTCACTTCAAAGAGTTCTACCAGTTCAGTCACTGTTCTGATGGAGGGATGGATTTCCAGTGCTTCCTCTTCTCCCATCTTTAGGCGGCATATCATCTTGAGGTCACTAGGTTTTATAGGTGGAATAAAATACTGGAAAATTTAACCCCAATACAAGTTGTCCCTTTCAGACAACTCACAGGGAGCCCTCCTGTCTCAGCTCCCTGCTCTGCAGCACCACCCGAGCTCTGAGTCCCTCACTCCTGCAACCTCCAGCCACCTCCAAGTTGGAGGCCATTCGCAACCCACCAGGGACACTTGGTGACACCACTCATTGGTGGGAGCTTAGAAGAGATCGAGGTCTCACTCCATGACCACAGTCAGGAAAGCATCTTTCCTTCTTCTGAAGGCAAAAAGGGAGAACACCAGCTCATGTGTTGAGTTGGGCAGCTCTTTTTACTACTTGCAGCTAGAATACATTTTTCTAAAAAAGGAGAATACTGTCCAGAAGTGTGATTTGGGATTTATGATGTGATTACTCTTTGAGTCAATTATAAACCCCTAAATTCTTTCTAGATTATGGGAGAAGCATGCAGTTCCTGATGAGACTCTCTCAGGGCCTCATCATGAATTGGCCTTCCAACATTACAGCTCTTCATGCAAAAAAATACAGAGGGAGACTTTCTTTTTAACAAAATCATTTTTTTAATATTCTTCACTAATATTTGTACAGCTGTAAACTCAAGGAATTGTCCAATACTTGTGTACATTTTGGGGAACAGTTAATAAGCACCTTCAGTGGTTTCCACAGTTTAAAACTTAACATTTAAGATTTTAGAATGAATCTAGTGAAATGAAGAAAATAGTTAGAAAAAAAAAAAAACCCTATCCATCATGATGAACTTGATATGCAGGGCGTGATATGGGATGATAAATACAAAAAAAAAAAAACTAATGTATGGGGGCTGGGCTTCATGTAAGACCCACACATTTCCCCAAGCTTGTGATTCTTGGGGATAGAGTTGCCTCTCAAAAAACTCCAATTATTTAAGGAAAGACTCTCAATTTGGGTTTCCAGGTCCCAGAGACAGGTAAGGCAAAGTCAGGAGGGAAGGGGCAGGGACCAAGAGATACAGCTGAAGTAAACGGGTGCGGATATCTCTTGCCTAAGCAGAGAGAAATTTTTCCTTGTCCTTAAGATAAGTCATCTTTGGCAAAAATGTACCAGTTTCTCTTTGGCATTATTTAAGGGATTTTGTTATCGCTGTTCTTATACCCCTCCTCCACCCCTTTCTGTTAGGGTTTCCATTCCTGCCCTTGATCAATCTCTTCCTGATGTTTTCCATCCAGACCTCTCTACCCCTTGACCCATGCTGTCCTGGTTCAAACTCCTTATGCTTAACTTTTAATCCAAAATTCGTGTTGTCTCAGAACTCTGGGAAGCATTTGGAAAAGAGATAACACTAGCTATTTATATGGCCAGGAAATGTTTTCTAAACAAATTGTTCAAATATAAATATGAAACATAGCAACAGTCCCTTGTATTAGGGTAATGTACAATTAAGGATCTGAGCGGTTAGTATAAATACTCAAATAGACCTTCTTTGACTATATCTTCAGCTGAGAACAGAGCCAGCAGGGCCCACCGATGGAGGGAGAAATAAAGATGCTAGCTCATGACTGAGAGCAAACCAGTACCCGGAGGTGGTGCCAGAGGTGAGGGTGACAGCTGTGATATGTACCCGCGTGTGCCACACCTGGGTCTTCATGAGAATGAGCACGGGGCTGGAGACCTGCATGGTTCATTAAACCAGAAGCCAAATACTGAGATGCAGGTGCTTCTGACAAAGAGGGATAATGTGGTAATCTCTGGTATCATTTAAGGCACATCAAGATAACCCTCATTCTCAAACAGGATCTTAAAATCTACATCTTAAAATCTCTCCCACAGGATGCTTCTTTGACGTAAGCTTTTGACTACCAAGGGCCAGGGCTGAAAAGCTAATATTTTACTTGGGTTAGGGCTGCTCATAATCCACCAGATTCCATATAGCCCTAGAACAGAGTGGGTTTTGGTCAAAAGACATCATGCTCAATGAAATCAATGTTTTGGGCAGGATGAAGGCGGTAAGGAACTGGGTAGTAGAAAGATGCGGGGAGGAGGGAACTGAGAGCACCAAAAGAACAGGAGTGGCAGGGCTGACTCCCTCCTTTATCACATTCTTTCCTGGGAGGGCCCCAGATGGCATATTGAGGGGCTGGCAGGATAGTGAGTGCCGCAGAGTACAGGCTGAGCTCTTAAGGCCACCAGGAAGGGGCCACCCAGGTCTGTGAAGGGTCTGCCCACCCCTCGGGACTAGGGTTGGGGAAAAGGTCCTAGGACACGGGATGGGGCACACTGTTTTCACCTGGGGCTCCTTCAGCTTGTCTGAAGAATAGGGTCAAAATGGAAGATTCGACCCCTATATCAGGGCAGAGACCTTCTCTTTACAGAAGTCCTGGGCATATATTTTGGGAAAGTGCGAGGAAAATTGTTTGGCTCAGGCTTGGCTAGGCCTGGGCCGAGTGGTCCCTCAGCTGGAAGACAGGTATCCATCTGGACCGAGTAGCTTCAAGTAGGGCATTGCTGTGAGATACTTGGAGGAGGAAGGAAGTACTCTCGTCTTCAGTTCCGCTCAACACAGTTTACCCCTGGGGTGTTGTCAGGGCAGCGGCAGGTCCTGCTCCCTGGGGTGGCCAGGCAGAGGTGAGTGCAGCCGCCATTGTTCACTGAGCAGTAGTTGTGACCTATAAAAGGCAGAAATCAGTCCACAGCCTCCTCTTTCCTGAGCCAAAGCTATCTAGAGCGCAGCTTCCTGATTTGCCCCATTGTGGGGTTTCTAAGAGGCCAAGCTCATGAGAGCTCCTGGGGAGGAGGGAAGGCTGTGTTGGCACTTGGCCAAGCTGAGCTACTTGTTTCCTTCTTATTAAACCGGACAGGCAGAAACACTGGCTCCTGACTAGGGCCCTATAGATTCGCTTAAACAGATCTCAGGGGAGATTCCCCAACCCCAACATGGAGCTGGGATTCTGTCCAGTTTGCACACTTGGGTTCACACTGCTATAGGGAGCTGGAAGGTGAGAAAGAAATGGGCTCAGAGAGAGGACTGTGAGAGGAGCACGGAACACACGAGGATCAGCTGGCTGCTCTGCCACTGTGAATGTCTAACGCCGATCAAGTGGCTTCTGTTTCCTAGTGTATAAAATGGTAATAACAACAGTACCGACCCTCATGAGGTCACTATGAAGATGAACCGGCTAATGAGTGTGTACACCTCTAAGAGAGGCAATGTACGTAAAGTCCCAGGCTCACATAAACATCACAGATGCATTTCAATTCTTATTAAGCATCGCTTTTGCTATTAGGCCAAACAGATGAAGATTCGAGGCAGCTGAAATGCTAACGCTGAGGTCCTATTTGGAATCTGAAGACTGTGCCCTTGGAGACCCAGCCGGGGGTTAGGACTTTCCCCACCATGCCCATTTCATGCATTTATGGATCTGCCTCACCACCTTCAGGGGTCAGGGTAGAGTTCCAACTTGATTAGGTAGGGGTCTACCCTGGAGACCGGTAGAGCACATTTCTAGGTGAGTGTGGTTGGTCACCGAGGCCCAGTCTTGGGAACTGTGTCTGATCCCGCACAGCTTCTGACCGGGCACCCTTCCACGCTGCTTCCTGCCTACCATGAACCCTGAGGCCGGCTGACCATGGGCTGAACCAGTGAGCCACATCCAACCTTTCCTCCTCAAGCTGTGCGCCCCAGGTATTGGGATGAGAAATGGTAAAGCCGACTAAAACACCACTCCGGGGTGGAACACATCCTCCCTCAGTGTGATCCAGGCTACCAAGAGCCTGCGGCATGTGGGTCCTGAACTTCATGATCCCCACACCCCTAAGAATGGCCGCATAGGTCAGTTACCTTGGGGACACTGTGACAGGATGGTGGTGATGCCATACGGCCGGCTCTGCTTGTGGGGATGGAACGTGTCTGTCACACTGGAAATCGTAAGATCGATGGCAACCACGGAATTTCTGCAAAACATCAGGGGGAACAATACTTCTTGGGCCGGGGATTTAGCTCAGTTGTTCCGCGAACCTGAGTTCGATCCCCGGTACCAAAACAAACACTTCTCAACAGGACAGCCTCCTTTGTAGTTTGGGGCCATAAACAGACATCATGGTCTTGCTCCCCTGCCCCTCTCCCTCCTCATGAGGGATGGCAGGTAATGTGTGGTGGGTGTGAAACATGCAGCCCTTTCTTAAAGACAAACAGAAATCAGCTAGCTCTAAATTCCAAAGAGGACAGCCCTAGCCAGCTACCTCTGCAGTTTAACCCTCCTTCTGAGGGAAGGTTTGGGACACTACAGGTTAAGAGCCATAATTAAATGAGGTGTGGTGGTACACGTCTGAAATCCCCGCGTCCTAGAAAGCTGAGGCAGGAGGACTTCGAGTTATAGTCCAGCCTAGGCAACTTAGTGAGATCCTGTCTCGAAATAAAAAATAAAACAGGGCTGGTGATATAGCTGAGTACTGAAGATGAGGAGGAGAAAGAAGAGGAGGAAAAGGAGGTGGAGGAGACAGAGGCATGAAGCCAACTAGTCAAGAGACCCTGGGCCGGCTCTTGGGGAAAGAACAGAGATGCTCAGAAAGCCCGTCTGTCGTCTGGAAACTGCCTGGGAGCACAGATGGTGAGTGACACTTCCTGCTGCCCCCAGAGCCTTGTCCTCTCTCCTTCTTACCCCTCCTCTCCCAGTCCCTAGCAGCCAGAAAAGAGGGGTGAGGGGTATCTCTGAAGGCTCAAAGGGCCAGACAAGCGCCAGAAGGCAAGGGCCTGGCCTCCTGGAGATCGGGGTGGGGCAGCAGCCCACATACCTCATCCAGTCTGTATAATACAGATTCTTCCCAAAGCTCGTCACTGCGAAAGGGTACTGAAGTCCTGGGAGAACCTTGCGCCTGCTAGGCTGATTCGGGTTCAGGCATTCAGCCTGATGGGTGCCTGTGTGCAGGAAAGACAAGCTGTTCATTGTTCACGCAAGAAATGAGCCCTTTGTGTCCCAGGATGAGGGTCAGGGGGCCAAGAGTGGGAGAAATTTAGTGCTGCAGCAACAGACCCCGGAGAACCCCAGGCTCGTTCTTAGACATTGGCCCTTTGTCCCTTCTGCCGTTCTTGCTTCTTTCATCTGTCTACATCTACCTGTGTTCCAGCGGCCATACCAGGTCCTAGGAGATGGAAGCCAGGGTGCCCTCCTGCCTGTCGCCCCAGCCTCCTCTCTCGGAAGAGGACTGCGCTGTCTCCAGCTCTTGCTCTACAGAGCTTCTCTGGACCCTGACTCCCTCTGATCAGAGCAATCACTAAGCTGCTCCCTGGCCCCATGTGTGCCAGCGTGATGACTGTCCTGAGGCTGGTCTGGTCACTTACACGGTGTGATAAAACTACAGCGGATGGTTAACCATTTTTAAAAATGTATTACAGTAAAAGCCACACTGCCATTCTTCCCCCTCAGAAAACTCCCCCTCACTTTGAACACTTTTATCCCATCGTCCGTGCCTCTTTTTGAAGCAGTTCTGGAAGTCCTCTTTTCTGAGCAGCTTTAGCTGTGCTGTTGTTACTGCCTCAGTGTCCTGAATTGATTCAAAATACTGACCTTTTCATGGCCATTTTGACTTGGGGGAAGAGCCAGACCTGTGAGTAAGGTGGACAGACACACTATAATGTTTTCACGAGCCTGTTCTTTCACTGGATGGCACTCAACAACTGCATTCACCCTATTTTTAGGTCCCTAAATTTTTTTTCTCCTATGGTTCCTTTTTTTTTTTTTTTTTTTTTTTTTTTTTTTT